CCGGTGGTCCGTGAAAACATTCGGATGGTCTGCAAAAAAATTGGGGCATTATTTATATTTTTATGAAGATTTAGTTTAAAACATGACGAGTAACAAAAACTATTATGGAATATGGATTATACGTTTTTTTCCCTACTACTTTTAGTGAAATTCCTTCTGAATTTAGCGAATTTTTAACTACTTTTGCAGGTGCATTTAGCGATATTTGAAAGTGAGAGTTGGCATCCATGGATATGCTGCTGTTAACAATAATAGCGCGAACTGGAGTTCTTCTTCCTTTTGAATTACAAACATATGATATTGTAGTCGTTAATAATACAGTTTTTCTCCGTGTCAATAGGCAACTTGATAGATTTTTATGAGAATCATCTACATTCTTGTTTATAATTGCATAACTGGAAGTTTCCGTTTTTGTTTTGTCTGACTGTTGATCGATGGCGCCATTGATGAGTAAGTGATGATTATTATGTTTACAATAATTAAAAACTGGTGGCATAACACTTTCAATTCATTGATATTGCTTTGCATTTGCCGATTTGTTCTTGCTTTTCGTGAAGTTTCTGTTCAGTGATATGGAAATGTAAAGCTCTCTGTACAAGAAGGAAAGATTTTTGTACTTTTCATATAATTTTTCAATGTGAACGAAATATGAGTAGTTTGCTGATTATTATTGTAAAATGTGTTTACCTTTTTAATTCATATTAGTGGTTCGCCAAATATAAAATTATATATGAAGTGGTCCGTTAAGTTCTAAGGGTTGACTACCGCTGGTCTAGTACAGACGTTTGGCTTTTTATGCAAAAAGATAAATTTCTACTTTGCACAGAAGCATATTTTCCGTTCTGAAGAGGTGCTTGCTGTAAAGTGTCATTTATTGACGAAAATTTGAATTTTATTTCTCCATGTAATGCTCTCTGTACAAGAAGGAACATATGTTATTTAAACTACTTTCCCATAGTTTAAATAACATATGTTCGAGATTTCGTTCTTTTTATGTTCATGACAACGGATTCCAATAAAATCTGAGTAGGAAGATTTTAATTACAACAGTTATGTAGATATTACAAGAACAATTCGAGTTTATACAAATTTAATGACTTTCACCCAAGTAGAACGGCAACTTCGTAACGACGTTGCAAGCTAGTCCGAGAGTTTGCAAAGTGGTCGTGGTAAGTTTTACGACGTCTCTACAACGTTGCGAAGACGCAAAATACTTGCCGTTGCATCTTGGAAATTTGCCGACGTCGCTGAAACGTCATTGATATGACCGCTTTTAGATGTGGTCGTTTTAGCATCTTTTTCATAGTTCATCAGCGTTACTTTTAGAATGAGATGAGACTAAATCTTCCCTTTCAAGAATCTGAAGTCTGCATAAGATTTATTTTGCAATGTTTCATTACTTTATTTCATCTAAATATATTAATCTAAGGTAGATTCATCTAATGAAATATAAATTTAATATAAATACTTGAATTATTATATTTAATTAGTACTAAAATACGTGCTAAATTATTGTTAAAATTTTGTTAAAATAATTAATACTTAAAAATATTTTTTATAAATATTTATAGCAAAATATTTAAAATGAAACAAATCTATAAAGTAAGTTATTAAGTTATGCATTTTATATATTTTAAAAAATCATATTTCCGAAATCAATGCAAATCACACGTTAGCAATTATTTTACTGCTGAAATATGACTTTATTTATTATTTTTGAAGTAAGGACGAATTTATTTGAATTAATATGCTGACATAATATGAAACATTTTTACCGCATACAGTGCAAAAATTACAATTTTCGCGAAGATATAAAAGTTCTGATGAACTGTTTGTTACGTTTTTGTCCATCTCCATGCATTTAAAAATGCTTGGTTTAATCCTAGTATACGGTACACTCGGGATTTGGCGATATTGACATTACAAATGTTTTAGCGAGCCCAATAAATATTTTTTGTGAATATAACCTTGTGAACATTGTTCGTAATTCTATTCAATTGAAATAATTCTTCTAAGCTATTCAAAAAAGATTCTATTGAATTATCAGAAGAACCGTCGAAAAGTTTAATGCAATCGTATAACTCGCTGAAACGTTACACTGAAACGCTGTTCAACTGATTGCCATTCGATGCATATAATTAACTGGAGGATTATATAAACGAACATCTGAGGTAGAGGCTAGCTGCCAAATTCGAATAAGTCAGTTAATGGCACAGTAGTTTCAGACTCCATCTTATTTTCAGGAATGTTTTCTTGATGGTTTTGCAATTAACCGTCGGAATTAAATACTAGAGAGCTTCAATACAGAAAGAGCACAAGAATATAGTGATGGCAGTTTATTTTGAATTGAGTAGAAATCTTCGCGGTAATGCCGAATTTCTGCTTATTTTGTTTGTGAATATATGCTCTACAAGATCACACCAAAATTTTGAATTTTGGATGCATCGTTTAAAGAAAATATCGGATGCAGCTTGATAAAATCGTCCACATATAGTGAAATAGTGTTCTGTCTAGTATTTTTATGTGTTACCAGTGATTAAAATTATATGATGGTTTTTTTTTCCAATCTTCCGTGACCCCCCAGCGGTGCAATATTTGGATACACGGATTAGCGATTCGGTTATAACATCGTAAGTGCTATATCGTATAGCGTTCATATTAATCGATTATTGTTTTGGTGTTTAGAATTAATTCATATAAAACCAAAACCAACATACAACGTTAAGGCATTTTCTGATTTTGCTGAAAATGCAATCCATGCAGAAGCAACAACAATTCAGGCTGTTATGGTATGTTCATGAGTTTTCAAAACAGGAAGAAATTATTGGACTAGTACTTACAATGACTGCTGAAGATGAATTATATATATGTAATAACATATTAGAAAAATACAAGGAATACATTAAAATTAATAATAATGCACATTCTATATTATGTTGTCTTTTGTATAGTATGCAGAAAAGGTTAATGATTTTAAAGTGTATTAAATGTATGATCGAAAAAATAGTGTTAAGGAAACATTAGCATTACTATGAAAATATTGTAATTTATAATTATGTGATATTTAATTGTGTAATATTAAAAAACACTAAATATTTTTAATTGATTGCAAATTGCAGTTATATTACTTTTCGTTTGGTATCTATTCTTCCAAACACTGTGTCATTTGCGTTTTTTTAAATATTGCTGTTATGTATGTTTATTAGATTATCTCAATAAATGAATGATGGAAATTAGGTTTTATTTTTTTTATTAAATTTAAGTATATTCTATTTTCTTCGCTTACTTCTTATGTGCTTGTGATAACACAGAAATTCATAATAAATAGAAACAAAAAGTTTCGTCGTGTGCTATTTAACGAAGAGCTTACTTTAACGTTTTTAGCTTACTATCGTATACTATATTATTTAAATTATTTCTGTACAGTAACAAAAGGAAAAGTTATTGATTATATAAAGTGCATAAAATAATCATTCTAAAATGTAGAAACTAAAAGTAAGTAAATACATTAACATATGATCGAAAGAAATGGTGTTAAAAACATCAGCATTATTAGTAAATACTGCAATCCATAATTATTGTACTTTTAATTGTTTACTATTTAAAAAACAACAATAATTTTTTATTAATTGGAAATTTTAGTTCTGTTACCTTCCTTCTGCTTATTTATACATTCAAACATTGCTAGGTCATGTTTTTTCTTAAATATTGCTGTCATGTATGTTGTTTGTTAGGTTATTATATCATTTTAGATATGAATATGGGAAGTTTTTATTTGGTTATTAGATTTAGATATATTTTTGTATGAAATACTTTTGATCACATTTATTAACTAATTTATGCAGTGTTTCATTTGGATATCTTGGAGATATAGAAGTCAATGGTTATATTTTTTACTATAAAACGCGAATAAAGTTATACTTGAATTCAAGTAAAATACTAATTATGCTACCTTAAGAACCGCTTCCTAATTTACCATGACGGGGGCAATTTTCAATGTCTCTGAGATTTAACAGAAATAAATGTGATAATGCTGTCATAATCAGAAACGTTCTTTTTTTCTTACCCTCATATATATCTTAATTTTATTTATGTCTGATTGAGTTTTATTTACTTAAACCTATTATTAATGTTTATATTTATAATTACCACTTTCATAATTATTCTACTTACATACTAAGGATTAAGGGAAAAAATATGAAATCTTAAATAATCGTGACTTGGAATTTAAATTATTAAAAAATACAGTTTAAAGTACTGAAAATAATTAAGGCTATTATTAATTATGCATATTTATTCTAAAGAGAAAAAATTGCATTATCTTCTGGATTTCAAGAAGTGATAAAATATTTAAACTTTAGATAAATTCAAGGAATACAAAATTTCAAAAAGAAGAAAAATATATTAATTATTAAGCTTATTTTACTGCATAAATCAATATGTAACACAAGGACATAATAACGACATTTTCACAACTGTTTGCAAAAAAGTGGAATTTGGCGAACATTTACGCGTTTTTAAGACGTCGTGATACGATGCTTTCACAAACAAAATATCAACTGCGAACGACGCAATAACGACGTCTATACGACAAAAACCTCATCTGCAGAGATGTAATAAAGACGTCCTTGCAACGGTTGCAAAACAGGGGAGTATTCGCGGAATATCTGGAGGTCTTAACGACGACATATTGCAACGTTTTTGCAACGACATCCGCGACGAGTTTGCAACGTCGTTACGACGTTGCTGTGCTACTTGAGCAGTACGTTTGTAAGTTTCTGAAGTACGTTACTGAACTTTTGAAAATTTTGAATTTACGCCTATATTGTTAAATAATGCCTAAATGCATGGTTAACTATAAAAACCTTTTTTTTTTTTTTGCCTTCTTTAACTATGATACTTATTTATTTAGCAATTCCACTTTTTAGTAAATTAAACAATTGCTTTCGTAATATGTGAATGTTTATCAACAATCAAAATTCTTGATATTTAATTGACAGGCGAAGAAATTACGTATGATGGATGGAGAAAGATACTGGCTTCTTGTTACACCAGAGACAATAAGAGAAGATGATTTAGTATCCACTGCGAACAATTTGCCTTCAGAAGCAAACGTAGCTATAGTTTACCCGAAGAAGAAAGAAAACAAGGAAAAAGACTGCATAGTATGTATGAATGTTATCAAATTAAAAAAAGTACTTTCTACCTTAACATTGTTTTTTTCGCGTGGTATTTCGCAAAGAAAAAACTTAATAACAGAAAAGAAATAATTGGATATTTATGTTACGTAAAAAATAGTTTCTTAGATGAAAGTTTATACAACTTTACATTATTCAAGGAAGATAATTGCCACATTAGTTAATTCAAACTTTTTTCCAAGTGTATCTCATTACCTCATTCTACAATTTCTTTACACCTTTCTGTCTTTTCTTATATCAGATTACTTCCAAGCTTTCGATTTTAAGCATAGATTCCTCTCTTTATTAAAAGGAGCTCCAGTAATGATTTATGTTTGATGCACTGGTAGAGACATTAGGTAATTTTTAAAGCATGAGACATGAAAAATGTGCAATGCCCTCCCCGGTATTCGAACCTGGACCTCTCGAATGCGCGCCGAGTGTGCTACCGTTGCACTATGACGGCATGCAGAAAGGAGGAAGAAAATACCTTATATACTCCCTCTTTTAAAGGACGATTGGGGATTAGGGGACCCAATCGCCAACTCCTGGTTATGAAGAATCAGCTCGGGTCCCACTGTAGTCATTAAGATTTTTTTAAGCAGGAGACATGAAAAATGAGCAGTGCCCTTCCCAGGACTCCAACCCTGGACCTCTCAAATACGCGCCGCTCGTGCTATCGTTACACTACGATGGCATGCAGAAAGAAGGAAGAAAATACCTTATACATTGACTTCGTTCATATTTTCCTTGTTTTCTACTTTTAAAACTTTACGAAAAGACTTTTCTCCTTTGTATTAAAAGCACTATCTTTAGTCTGTTAGTCTTTAGAATATGGATTATGGTTATTTTACTCCTAACTTTCATCGTAACCGTGGTAACCACTACTGCGGAAGATGGTTGCGTCATGCAATTTTGATGATGTCACACTTTAAGATCGTAAATGAGGGTAGAGTCTTTACACCCTTAAGCATTTATTTATGATTATAGGATTAATGTGTTCAAAGCTTTTCCGGAAACAGGTCATGCCACCTCCATTAAGCTTGCAATAATTTAATTTGTCTATAAGAAGGCTCTAGTGTAGTTTTCATAGAAGGAATGGATGAAGTGACGTTCTCCAGAACGTCTTCCAGTATAGTAGTAAAGAGAGGTAAGCTTATTATTTTTGAAAAAGAAAAAAAAAAAAGTGGACCTTAAATTTTAAATAATTTTATGAATTTTCTTAGGATAACAACTAAAATCTTTGAAATAATTGTAATTAATAAATATTAAATTAGATGTATAAAAAACGATTGCCAAAATATTTAGACTATAGAATAATTTCGACAAAAAGAGAGAGAGAGAAATTCAATTTTCCCTACTTTATTTATTTAGCTTTCATTCTTGTAGTGTTGCAAACCTACCCTTATATAAACATTAATTGTTCTATTAAAGCATTCGGAGAATATTAATTTTAAACTAAGTGATTGCACTTTGCCATTAGGACAGAGTAACTGAGGTGTAATACTAAAAAGACAATAAAGTGAGAAAAGTGAATGGCGGGCTCTAGCTGTTTATTGCCGTTGGCCACTACTAAAGCCAGAAGCGGTGGTCTCTTTATTATGGAGGAGTATAATAGGTGGGCCATCTTTGCCTTCTATGAAGGGGTGGACAAATTACATTCATGCTTTCTCCCGGATTCGAATACTGGCCCTTCAGTACGACAGTCAGAGTCACTAACCACTTTCCCATCTGGGGTGGGGCAGAAAGGTGAAGGTTCATTCTCGAAATTATTACAAAAGAAACATAAAATAAAACCTTTGTGTAAAGATTAATAAATATGAAACACATGCGTTTGTGTAACTACCACAAAGTTAGCTAGTTTTAAATGAAGATATTAATAGAAGAAATTCTTAAACTACAGAAAGTATGCTGAGATAGATGGAACTTGAATTTCTGATAAAGAAAAGTGAAATAGATCATTGATATAACTTACCGATACGCATCAAACGATGAAAAATTTGACACATACGTGGAACTATGTTTCGGGACTCCCACTGTGTACTGATGCGAAGGAAGATAGATGATCTCCAAGTTTTCCACGTTCGTAAATGTCAGCTGAAAGAAATTGGAATAAGCAGCGCCACCCCTTTTTTCGATAGTTCATGAGACGAGAAATTCCACACTTTTTTCATAAAATATAGTATAAGAAGTACCATTATTTATTTAATTATATTTTAGAGGTATTAACATTCACATCAGATAAATATTACTTTCTTATTTTACCAGCAATTCTTTTCTTCTGCCTAAGAATTCGAAACTCATTTCAAGTTTTGTCAAATTCGCAAGTTAGCAGGTGAAAACAAACCTTAGTCTTTCGGTTTCAGCTAGGAATGTTTAATATTTTGTTTCCGAAGGAGAGAAAACAGTCGATAATCTATCGAAATGGGAATCCTTTCCTTTTAAATCAACTTCAAATAAATATTAAAATGGGGCAATCACTTCAATGTCTAAACTGATATACGTAACATATTTTATCACTAAACTCCACTGTGTACTGATGCGAACTGATAACTAACAGATATTATACTGATATTATATCATCTTTAAAAAGATGATATAATTACATCTTTTTAAGTAATTAATTCGTTAATTACTTAAAAAGTAATTATTCATTAATTCGAATTATTTGTTACTTTTTAAGTAATTATTCGTTAATTACGTGTGAAGCTGTTCCATAATAATTATTTCAACAAACACGTTCAGTCTCTATCAAATATACACAAATTACGAAACCTGAACTTAGCGAAACCAAACCTGTGGCTGATATAGATCGCTAACAAAAAGCTTAAAAAAGGATAGAGTTTTCTTTTATTACTTCGTTGTAAAGTTTTTCTAACAAGTTTTCTCTTTATGAAGTAAATAAGGAAACGGAATCAGGTCTTAAAAGTTTTATCTGATTGAACTACCTAGATTTTATTCTGGTAAATTCTTAAGTTTTAGAGCTGTAACTGAAGGAAACACATAGCATTTTAGATATAATCATATTTGCTTAAGACTTTAAAATATGAAAACGTTGTTACAATTCCAGTTATAAGCTGAAATTCATCTCGGTACAGGAAATGTGAAATTTCCTTTACTACATACCCTTAAAAAGCACTCCTTTTAATTCGCAATTATATGCTTCTGAAGAAGTTTGCTACGTGAATGTTATAGGCAGGAATATTAAATAGTAGAGGTAATATGAATATTTACCAGGCAACTCAAATATCGAAATCGGCAGATATGAAGAACGTTACCTATTTCATTTTCAAAAACAAATCATAATATGGTAAATACTGGTTTTAAATTGTTTTATCCGACAATGAATTTAAATTCTTCTCAACTCTTTGGTTTATTAGTACTGTTAAAATACTCATTTCAAAGAGAAAAATCCAATTGTTAATCATTGCTGTATTCTTTCTTTAAACTTTATTTCTGATGTTCTGCCTTTCTAAGAATTCAAGATTTTAAAAGACGTGAAAAGTTTTTATTTTTTAAAAATTTTTGTTTCTAATAATCCTCCATCACTGGCCCAGGTGATTAAGACTACTGAATATTGTAGCTAGACCGGGGTTCGAACCCAGGCGAATGCGCTGGTTGCGAGAATGTATTTGTGGTTTTCCTCATGTGTAGTTTGAATACGAATCAGTTTCCCCTAGAAAGTCATCCTCTGATAGACCTGTGTTCTTTGCCGTACTCAAATGACCTAACTTAACCTGTTTGTGATTAAGCCTGGCGTCAGAAATTTTTCCATGTTTAGGTTTATTTGATTTTGGCAAAGTCTACGAGGGCTGTCTGCCTAAGGGAAAGATGCCTTCGTGGAGGACTTTCTAAGGTAAACTTGCTTGTATCCACGTTATACATGGAAAACATTCTAAAGGCTCTCACACAGCCGCCTGGAATCGAACCTACGTCGAACTACTAGATTTCAGCGACTTTGTCGCCCGGCCGCTGGCGGGCCGGGAATTTTTAAAAATTTTGTCGGCTTATTAGATAATCTACCATTTAAAATTATTTTCGATGTGTTTTTCTGGCAAAAAGTTACATGTTAAATAGGGCGTTGTAAATGACGATTTAGACCTTATTGCCAACTGGCTAGAAACAAACCGCGTTTTTGCATTATCAAACTATGACTTGGAGCATTTCAAAGCAAACCTTGGAACCTTTCGCGAAAATTCGATCGATGAATATATTGTGACAGAAATTAAACTGGAAAATCCTAGTGCATTAATGTCAACCAAAAAAATCGGTAAAAAATTTGAAGACTTGCAATTCATGAATTTTAAACGCCCTATGATCAAAATGTTTTTATCTACAAAATCGAACTGAGAATGATGGAATTATTTAAATTTTTGGATGAAACTATGGGTAAAATTTCCTTGTAACCTGCATCTTCCCAACAGAAAATGTTGAGTAAAAACTAATTCACCAAAAGATTTTTTTATTCACTTTTAGATAATTTATATATTTTCTATGCACGAAATATTCATTTTAGATATTATTGTGCATTTTAGATAGAGATATATGTATTTCAGGGAAGACTTAAACTACGACCTTTCATGATACGTGATTTATGGTATGTAATTATTATAGTATAGTGAAACTGAAAAACAAATAACTGCATATAACAATTTATTGTGACTATTTCCTAGCATGATTTTTCTTCCCAAATTACGATTTTTGTTTAAGTCGTTTGGTTAGACAATCAGTCTAGTTTTTCGCTAGTTTTGTAATCAATCAGCCAGTTTTTATAATTTTTTTAGCTGTCTATTTTTCTTATCGTATCGTACACAGCGAAGAAAACATTCGGTCGACTGAATGTTCGTTTAGCAGATTTTGGTGATACATATAATAAATAATCAGAGGTTTAAGAAACTGGTCATAAAGAATATGGCCTTCTGTGATAAACTTCAGTGCCATCTACTGAATATTATATTAAAATTTTACTTTTTATTCCTTCTGATATTTTTTCATTCTAAAGCAATTAAAAATTCTTATAAATCTTATAAATGTACCATAGAGAATTATTTCTGGATTTTAATTATATATATATTCTTTTTACTGAATGTATGTTAGAGAGCATCAATAAAACATGAAATTAACATTTTACTTAAACATTGAATAATATACTGATCTGAGCAGTATATAAAATAGTACTAATAGAAAACACAAAGCTTTTAAAAGCCCTTTGAACTAACTACTGCCAGAAACTGAAAAAAAAAAAAATTGATAATTAATTGGTACGGTATGATGTATTTGTACACATTTAAAACATCAGTTTCAGTGAAAATATCAGTTTAATCGATTTGTGTTATAGTGCTAAAGCCGTATCTTCTGTTATACGAGGTCAAATTATTTTAACATGGCGCAGCACACGAGAGCTATCCGCCTAAGAGAAGAGATGTTTTCGTAACGGAGCAGCGTCTTTCCTTTTTCAAGGAAAACTAGTTCGTATTCTACTTACGGGAAAAAACGGGAAATCCAAACCTGCAGCCAGTCCGTTCGCCTGGGCAGTTTAATTATCTCTTCTTTTAAAGTTTTTTTGATTGTGTGTAGAAAAAGTAACTTTAGCACAAATAAATTTTATCAAAATCCATTTGTTTTAAATATGAATCGAAACTGCTTTATTAATACAAGATTGAAATAAAATGAAAATCTTTATCAAAATTGCCGATAAAATTTATTGAAAAGAGCTTAGATTTCATGAAGGCTAAGGTACATAGCTTGGCAGGCTTTTGATTTAATGAATTGTATAAAAAAATTCTTTTTGGGTTTCTAAAGAAATTCATTGAGGAAATTGATTATCTCCAGCTAACCCTTAGATGACAAATTATGGTTTTTTTTGGCCAAAAATTTATATTCTTATTGAACAATTTTTTATTGTTCCTTGTAACAACATATGCGGGGTAATCAATTCTAGATAGCTTAAAAAATTGGCTCATTGTAACTCGGCAAGTATCATTTTCGTTAAGAACGCTCAGTGCTATTTACCGTACCGAGCTTGTTCTTAGTGAACGGGTTAGCTGATGGAAATTTCGATATTCTCTTCCAGCCATGTGTAATGTTTTCTCTTAGAAAATCATTCACGAAAGCTTTCTTTTTAAGGCACATAATCTTTGCGAGCTTTGTCGTAATGAATTGGTATACCGACACCAAACTACCTGCTATGATGGCTAATATCTTCATACAATTTAAATATTTTTTTCAATGGTAAAATGTGTACATGAAAAAACTGTTTTCACTATTTTATCAAATAAAAACCATTCCAGGAAAAGATTTAATCTGAAATTTTTATAACAAAAAGCTCTTAATTTTGCAATGAAATTAGCTATGATTAAAGATAAAATACAGCTATTGATTTCGGCTCAGTTTTTCAATTCGTTTAACATAATCAGAATCACCTTGGATTTATGGCTTCATCTGAAAACCATTATGGGAAATTCTGTTTTGTTAATAACTTTTATAGTTAATCCAGGATAGCTCTGCTGTAGGAAGACAAATATTGGCGTAGCATTGCTGAGACTAGACATTTAAAATTGTTTACAGCATAGGTGTCAAACAATTTCAAACTTTTGGGTTGTATGGCTTAAAAGTAAGATGTACTCTATAGGGGCAGCACCCCTTGAAAAACTGTGCAGAGGTCTCAGTGCGGATTACAATACTTTTTAACCATTCCAGAAAAACTAATATAAGCAAGTGCCTGCTTATAAAAAATCATAACTTATAGTATTATCGCATCTGATGCAATTACATATAATTTTTGATTCAAAAACACACTCGTTAGGAACAAATTTTGAGTATAAAGTTTTCAATGTTAGGGTTGAATCTGTTTTTGAATATCATTGCGTCTATATCTAAATTAATAGGTTTATTAGCGATTCAGAAGAATGTGATTGAAACATTTGTCTGAAATTTTGCTCTTTTTTTATATTTTTTCTTATGCTGTATAAGATAACAATGCCGTGCGCAAACATACGCGCTTTCTTAATGAAATGTCGTGAATATGCTCTTGAAAACTAGGAATGTTTTCCTTGGTACGTCGCACCTATCTGAAGATTATACATTTTATGTAATAGTTAATAATATGTTCCATTAACTTAAGTGCTATTTTAAGTTGAATAAGTATTGTAACTCTACATGGTCCGGTCGTACCTTAAGGAGTAAATTTGACTTAAACTGTGTTTGGTTTAGTTTAGTTATGGCAAAGAAAGCAAGGGTTATCAGCCTAAGGGAAGGGATGCCTTCTCTGAGGATTTTCTAAGGGAAACTGGCTCGTATATATACGTTACACATGAGGAAAACCACGAAAACGCCTATACAGCCAGCCAGTTCGCCTGGAAATGTCGGAACAACAAGTGTTCAGCTACTTTACGGCTAGGCCGCTGGTGGACTCGATTTCTACTGGGAAAATGGGATGGTAAATGTTGTGTAATGCAATTGATGTCTCTCTAAATCCTAAAACTTATTATCAGAATTTTCTGATAAAATGAAAATCAGTAACGTATATTCTTCACTTCTTGCATGAATTCTTTCAAATATCCTAAAGAAAATAATCTTGTAGTTAATGTCAGTTAAAGCTTCCATTTCAATTTAATTTCAAATGCTGTCATTTTTTCAAACACCATTTACTAGTTGTTTCTGGCCTTAAAGATACGTGTTCAGTTTCTTTGACTAAGCACTAATATGCACTAAAATCCCTTAAAAGATATCTCTTTTTCAAATTCTATGTCGCGTTTTTTTTCTTTCAAGTCACTTTTTCGTTCAGTTCACTTTTGCGTTCAGTTTACGTAAACCACACAAACAAACTCTAGAGTCCGCATGAAGCCCACTATTTACAGGTGCAAGTAACTGAAAATCACAGAAAAAAAATAACATAGAAGGTATTAATAATTGGTAAGATTTCGACACTTTAGAACGATTTTAAAGTGAAAATTTGTAAATATTTCAATTAAAAGCGAATTTGGAGAAATATATATATGTAATTACTAGGAAAATTAGTTTCTGAGAGATGAGATGCCAAACAAATGGAATCAGAAATGGATGAAAGGCTAAATCTGATCTTTGGGTTAGTTATTCGTTTCAATGTTTGCATAGTTAAGTGGATGCAACTCGTTACAGACTAAGACAAATTATGTCTTCAGTCGTGTAAAGGTGTTTTCTAAGAAATATCTTGCATCTTGTTACCATTTAAATGATTGCTCGCCATCATCATTAAAAAATATCTTCGCATTAAAACACTGATTAGGAGTTTTTATTACTTTTATCCCTTCTTACATTTTACTATCCATTTTTTTTCATTACTAGGGCCCTTTAGGGTGTCAAGTGTCTGTGATTCTCAAAGCATATGCCAAGAGTATAAGAAGTTTGGTGGAAAAAGGAATATACGAGTTGGATTCCAATGACACCGAATCAATGAAAAAAGAAAAACTACGGCAAAATATATTGGTAAGCAGTAAATATTTCCATAATATAAAAACAATGATTCATAACGGAAATAATTTCATTACGAAAGTGTCTAAAATAAAAGTGGTTACAAAAAAAGCAGATTTAATACCGTAATAAAATTATGTTGCCTTTTTTTGCAAATTACTTTGTGTTTTTTGATTTATGCAAGATCTTAACATAGTTTTAACACGGGAACATATGGGAATTATGTATCCAAAAGCATTTCAAATGGCTCAAAAATCTATCAAATATACTATGTTCTATATTTGGAGGTCTTAGTTTCTTTCAGATTGTTATGCCGTAATCCTTGTAAAGTAGATAAGGAAATTTCCAGTGTTTTTTCCCATTGTTAGAGCTTTTTTCTTTTCTTTTTTTTTTTTTTAAATCTTTATCTGGCATGATGTTGTGAGCTGTCAATGATTTTGATTGCACCTTTGCAGCTTTCGCGAAATGCTCCATCTCGCTTCCTATTGATTTTAACCAAAATGCGACAAATACTAAGCTCTTTGGAGTGTAGTGTCATCATAACATAGCTCAAACAAAATCCTAAAACATTATTTTAAATTGATTTTCAAAGGCAACCTAGTTAACGTTTTCAAGTTTTTCTTCCCTTATTTAGTTAAAAAAGCTTCTAAAAACACATTAGCTATCCTATTGATAGCTTATTCATTTTTGAAAGAGTTAAATCATTACTAAACTTTTGTTTTCCTCATTCATTTTGTATATTTTGGAGTATAGTACAAGGATAGTGCATGTGACAGTCGAAAAGCGTATCCCAACATTTTGAGGGTGTTTTTGAAATATAGTGATGATGTTTTGGAAGATGCAGATAATAAATAAATAAAGACCAAGTTACAAAAAATGAATATTAAATATTTTGAAACGAGACGTAAAGTTCAGACAGTTACATTATCTATCGCTACCGCTCATGAAGTTTGTGTTCATGAGTAGAAAAGTAGAAAAAAGTCAATCTAGTCATGAATGTAAACACTGCATTCAGCAAATTTGTTTAATTCCGAACACCATTGAGACAGTTGTGCTGCGCTTTGCAGATTTCTGACAACACACTGAAGTTCTTATTATAAATAATTTCTCAGTCCTCAAAATAACCACCGCAAATGAAAGTACATTTACTTAAGCAATTTGTAATCAGTTTTTAGATACTAAAGAAATTAATACCAAGGGTTTTTATACCAAGAAATTTTTAAGCGCATGTTTTCGATAAATGTTTCTCGAAATTTCGCTAGCAGAATACCGGATGAAGAACCACTTGAGAAATGTCTGTAATTTGAGAGCTCTGAATCGTCATTCTATCAATTCTTCCTTCCAGAGTTACATATATTACAAGTATAAATTAGATCAGGGTTTCTTAAACTTTTTTCAGTCATGACCCCTTTTTATGACTAAGATTTTTTCGCAACCCCCAGGACTCCGTAATATCAACAAAAATTTTGTGGGACCATATAAGAGTTGCGCAAATCCGACACACGCGTGAGTGAAACTCTCAATTTCTTTCATTTGTGCTGTAATATACTTTTGCAGTTTTAGGTCATTAACTTTAATTTCTAATTTTAAGACATAGAACAAATGTGAAAATTTTAAATAAGTAACAGACGAAATGACAGTGTCACGTGCAAAGCAAAGAAAATGAAGTTTATATTGTAAAAAAAAATGCGTCGAAACGTTTTCGTTTTTTGCTTTGTCTGTATCGTCTGACCTCAGCTACATTGTGTAAAAATATTTATTAATTGTAAAATTATTATAATAAGTTAAAGAAATATCAAAACAGCTAAACTTTTTGGCGATCGCTCTGCTGCAGGTCCCGCGACCCCCTTCGGGGTCTCGAAACCCTGAATTAGACGAGTTTACTTGATGATCGAATTATTTATTTTTTTGGAGCCATATGGACACTTACTTCATCTAATTAATAATTACGATATATCAAGAAGTACTTATGCCCTAAACAACGTAAACCACTATAAATTACTCATTTAAAGCATATGCTTATTATCGAATTAAACGCCCCCCCCCGAGATGGCCGTACGAAATTTTGTTGCCCGTTCGATAATTCTTTTCACATTCTAAAATTTAATATTAATGAAAATTTGAAAAGTGATTTTTGTTTGCCTTGATCGAGATTTTATTCGTGAAATATTTAAACTGTGAAATAACGAAGAAAAATTGGTGTATATCTGTGCCTGGCACAGGATAATAATGGTAAGAAAAAGTAGAAAAAATTTATCTCAGCGGAATCAAATCTGTGATCTCTTGCTGAAAAGAATACTGTGCGAGTGTCAGCCGATATGATTAATCTGTCTTCTCATTTTGTTCATCTTTCTGTCTTCACATTCATTTTATCCTCGAGTTTCAGAAAATGCGAGCATTTCGACAAGAGGAAATTATTTGACCTTTATCAGACATTTTATATAATCTGGTCCCCGTACCCGCTGAATCAGCATCAGTTGTTTCAGTTATCATAGGTTCAAAGGTTTAGAGCGGCCATAAGCAATTTTAAAAATTAAAGAAATAAACATTTCATTAATAAACAGACGCATGCGGAGAAAGAAGAATGGATGGTGAAATGAGCAACATATGCTCCCCCAACTTATCCTCCGATAAAAATCCAATTATGAGCACATAAATGCTTTACACAGCTCTGAGCTAATGCGCATCCGATGCTTTAGATGATAAATTAGCATGAATTTTGTTATTTTTCACCTTCTGAAACTAAATATGATATTATAGAGTAAAAGTTCACTATTGTTTCAATGATCTGATATCTTTTATTTATAGCATAAGGAGTCAGAACTTATATAAAAGAGAGTCATAAAAACTACACTGCAATGTATCAAGCAACTTATTCAGTGTGTTCCTTTTTAATTTATGTATTTATTAATTAAATTTTTCTTGTAATTGCACTAAAACTAAGCAAAGAATGTTTTTTACTTGCTTAAAAAACTCATAATCTACTTTTATTCAACTGAAATTAATTAGATATTCCAAAGGCATTAAAGGCCAGTCTGTGATTGGTGCGCATTTAGTAAATAAATTAGATTGTTTCTTAAAAATGTACCATACTTTATTATTTTTATAATATTTCAATCAATGAAAACGTTAAAGACTTAAATGTTATAAGGAGAAGTATTCTAATCAGGCTAAATATTTTGACGCTTTAATCCAAAACAATATCGTTCTATTAGTTGAATTCAATAATAAGATGAAACATTTTCATATAAAATGGCACAATATTCATAAAAAAGTATACTTACTTTAAACTTTTTAAGCAGGAAAGATGAAAAATGAGCAAAGCCCTCACCGGAACTCGGGTCATGGACCTCTCGAATACGCGCCGAGTGTGCTGAGCACTACACCACGAAGGCATGCTAAGATGGCTGGAGAAATACTTTATATATTCCCCCTTTTAATGAGCGACTGCGGATTAGGGGACCCAATCGACAAATCCTGATGTTGGAGAATCATCATTCACCACCTTTTCAGTTCGGGCGACAGTGCAGAGACACTAAGTACTTTTTAAAAACAGGAGAAATGAAAAATGAGCAATGTCCTCGCCGGGACTTGAACTACGGACCTCTCGAATACGCGCCGAGTGTGCTGACCACTACATAACGAAGGCATGCTAAGATGGCGGGAGAAAATACTTTTACTGTATTCCTTTTGTTTTTAAATAAAAACTGATTTCACCTTTCGATCCGAGTAACTGCCACCAGATATAACTTTAAGAGAACTATTGCACTCAAAAATCAACTTTCAGTCAATAAAAGGATGAGCATATTATTGACAGTCATCAGATGGTGTCATGGATTGATGCAATTCTGAATAGAGATGAACTATTTATTTACATTTGTAGTATTCAGATTCTTAAAAAGTGTAGCAATACAGAATTCGTGTTGACTTAATTCATTTTAATGACTTATGTAAAATGAATATTTCATACTTTTTAATGATTCTCTTAGGCATTTGTGGACATGGAAGATGAATGCGGAGGTTGTGTGGAGCTAACAATAAAAACCACAGCTTATTTAGTACCAAATAAGGACGTAGCCCTTTCTCTTGATGATTATGCGACAGTTGGGACATGGAAACTTTTTCGTGGCCTGAGAATGAACGGAGATTTGTTTCCACTCACGACAGGCAATTTTCGTGGTAAAAAAATAAAAATCGGAATTGTAAATGTAAGTATGTTATTAACATTCCTGAAAACGTTGTTTTTTATCTTATGTATGAGAAATTATTATTGTTATGCTTTCACTAACGAAATTTGTTTAATAATTACTTTATCAGCAGTTATTCTTTTTTTTTTTTTTTTTTTTTTTTTGATGCTATAACAATTTGATGCTATAACAATTCTTGAAGCATCCAAGGAAAACTTAATTCTCTGAATTAAGTAATCTATATAACTAGAAAGACCACGTGGAGTTTACATTAATCTTCTTTTTAAAAGCACGTTTTGATTATTAAAATACTAGACATTTAAGAGGAATGCTGAGTAATAAAGTTATAATAAAAATAAACACTAAAAATAAAATACTATAAATAAGTTATAGAGTTAACTATTTTTATTTTTTTTTCTAATTCTACCACTTTTGTAAATAATTGCAAAATAATAACAGCATATATAGGGGTCCTGAGGGTCCTGAAAATGTGATTGTAACAATGACGACTTTTAAACTGGAATAGCAAGCAACAATGACAATTATTAAAATATATTTTGCAGAAGATAATGTGTTAGGTCAAAGGTTTCTTTTTTTTGTTTGTTTGTTTTGTACACTTTCTTATGCTAGTACCAACTATTACTAAAAGGTAGCGCTTCGGCTTCTGAAACAATCACTCATTGGAATGTTCTTGGACATCACATCAAAATATCCTCGAAATGTCCACCACTCAAAGCAATCGCTCAATCGTAAACGAAGTACACAATTAAGCAGACACTTAGTGCAACGATGCTACGCAAACTGCAACATGATTGATGGTTTGTTCTAGTTCCGCTAAGCGTGGTAGGATTCTGCCGATACACCGCATCTTAGTGTTGTGACAAAGGAAAAATTCGCATGTACTGAGATGTGGTGAATACGATACCCAATGAATTGCTAGTTACATTGGGGGGGGGAGGTAGTGTAATGCAATGACGGGGTTGTCAAAATTTTCGTCCATGAAAATGAGAAGCATCATCAGTCTGATGAGGTCTCGCACCCTCTTGTGTGAAACAGATTGTTCCTGGTTAATCGTCCAAGGCTTTATGGATGGGTACATATTCGTGGAAAATTTGAATTCACTATCTTGTGTAGAAAAAGGAGCTTATGATGCCTTTGCTGGATAAAGCTGCCCATACAGTGAATTTTTGTGCATACAGTGATCACGAAATGCACGTAAGGGTTCTCCTTTCCCATGATCTGCCAAACAGATCTCTTTATTGACGAAGCCAAACAGATAAAAATTTGCTTCGTCTGAAACCTCTTACACGCTTTACGTCGTCAGTATTGACCTATTCAATCCATTGTAGCATTTCCTTCGCAAAAATAAATCTTTTTCACTTGATAATTTTCTAGAGAGCCACAGAGCTGTAGTGCGATCCATCAATAAAATTTTCTACTATCACGCACAAGGAGACTTCCTAAAAAAATACCCTCACCTAACATAATATGCAAGAATAATTTTAATAACTGTTACCTTTCACTTACTATTCCGTTTTATGTACAGACATCCTGCACATAAGTCATCCTGTATTTTCTGCATTTTTCATCTGCTTCAATTCTGAAGGATGGTCATATCTTAGAAAGTCTGTAGGAAGGAATATGCTCTTGTCCAAAATTATCTTTACATACCTAAAAGTAATAATATTCCATCAAATATTTATTCAATCCATGTAATCCATTTTTGCAGGCAATGTGTGAAAGACAAACCTAATTAGCATTATTCAGTCAAAAAGTGATCAAACGGTTCCTGATATGCAAATCAAGGTATTACATCAACTGGCTGTGCATGAAGCGCTTTGCACAAAGTGAATATCTGAGTGGATTTTTGAAATACAGCATTCGGTTTCAGTGTGGGGGAACTGAAACCTAAGCTCCGTTCACATGCAACGCTCCTTCGCACAGCTGCCGTTAGCAAGGGGAGAAAAGGAGACATGAAAAGAGTTTCGTCTTTAGGACCCGTTCAGAAGACCACCGTCTTCCTTCCCCTTTACATTTTAACGTGGTTTACTGCTGTTAATTTTGTAATCTGTACTTTCGCAACTGGTACCTGAAATTTCGTAATGGTTCCTAAATATATATGCTTTTTAATTATTATTATTATTTTAGAAGCTGTTATTTAGTTCACTCTTGGTGCTTGTCGCTATGGTTAAAAGATGGTAATGGATTTTAAACTGCTTCTCGATAAGATATAGAACTCAAACTTTGTACATATACTGCTTGTGGATGTGGCGTCACGCTTTTGATTTTTAGAGGATTAGATTGTTTTCAAATTTAAAGTTGAAACGACGTTTTGCAAATATTAACAAATAAACTATTATAGTTTGCACCATAACACACTGTGAAAGGAAAAAAAAAAAATAAATTAAATTTTTAGCGTAATTTTTTTAAAAAATATTTTGGGAGAATTTTTGAAAATCGTTCATATTTTTAGACTTTTTGACGTCCATTAATTTTAAAATTTCATATCTAAAAATATATCGGTTACAAACTTCCGACATTTTCACAGCTTATAAAACAAACTTTTCGCATTTAAAAAAGTTGATAAAGGAAATTAATTGGATGATTCTTTTACTTTTTTGAAAGATATGCATTTTGAAAGATATGCAATGAAGCAGAATGGGAAATATTAGTTCTTCTTGGGCATCAATTCGAAACATCGGTTTTAAAGTAATAATCTCATTATACCACACTATTTTTATGACATTATTTATGTTATACAAGTTGTTAGTTCAGGGTGAGATTGGAGATATTTCTGAGTTAACTTTCTCTTAAGATGCGTTTTGCATTCCGTTGTGTTTAACGTTCTTATTAGATTGAAGCATAACTACTGATTATACTTGGTGATATTCTAAACACTTGTACGAGTATTTCTGAGGAAAATTCCAGAACTTTGAAGTGTTTATGTTGATAAAATAAATTTAATTAAGCTATCATCGGATTTGAGTGCAATGACAATCATTTACGAACTATTATCAATCTATTATAAACCCGTACGCACGCAACAATTATAATTAATTAATGTATTAAAATTGTTTTGAACGTGTTTTGCAAAACAAAAACAGGTAAAGAAGAATTCTACTTGCGTTTTATGAGTTTTTGCAATTTTTCTGGCCACATAAGGTTTTAAAAAAAGGTTTGTAATTTATGTTTATATTTACCAATTGAATAAAGGAATAGGTTTGATTTATATACATATGTGTGTATTGAAATTCAGTAATAAAATTTTAAAGATTTGAAATGTTAAATGTCTATTTAGACAGTTTGTATTCTTTAAACTGCAAATGCAAACTGAGAAACCTTTTGCACTTTTCTCAATAAATCCTTTTACTTAAAGTTCTAAAACATATACAGGTACGGACTAAATTTTTTATTATTTTTACTGCTTATATAAACTTATATATTTTATAGAAACAAGAATGGGTTTTGAAAATACTGAAAGGAAAAAATTATTTGAAATGAAAATGTGACTGAGATCATATTTGTTTTAAAGATTTTAGATAAAAGTGTATTTTTTTTCTCAGAAACTAATTCATTAATTGCAAAGTCATTCCTTGAAGTTATTAAAAACACTCTAATAAAAACAATAAAAAAACTGGGGGAGGAGACATTGAAAATTGTAGGAGAAGAAAGACATTTTAATTGTAAAATTTTTCTACAAAAATTTAAATTAAAAAAAATACTAGCAAAAACTTTTTTTCAGCTTAAAATTATTTTGTCTCACAAAACCATTTAATAATATTCATAAAAAGTGGATGAAAATGCTTAAATTTTTTTTTAAAAAAATCATTCAAAAGGTACCGAGTCCCTTTTCGCGTTGAAGCACTTGTCTTAAATTTAGTTTTAATTTGAACGATATTTCTGGAATACCTAGCATCAGATAACCTTGTCTGTATTTGCCTATAACTTTCGTATGTTGTACAGTTCTATCTAATTTTTGGGGGGGATGCTATCACATCCCCAGACATCTATCAGCGGGATTGTTTCGCTGACAGTCCAGCGAACAGTAAATAAAATTAAGTGAACCGCGCAGTATAGTACGGGAAATCTCCCCATTTGCCCTGCTCCCGAGAGGTAAGGAACATTCAACCAAGTTCTACCTCCAATTCGGCGAGGCAGTTAATGCTTGTCCCATGTGAACGGGACACGTTGGAAGAACCGGTTTTCGCTAGCGGTCGAATCTGCTCTTGTGAATGGGGCTTAAACGATTTTTTTGTACGGCCTTTTCTATAAATCCTTGATCAGTTTTTAGAAAATGTAATTAGGTAATCGTACTATCGTGATTTAAATTGTGTGGAAGCTGTCAAGAATGTTTTATTTCTTCGCTTCTAAGAGTAATCAGTTCTAAGACGCACGCTGTAATACCACCTCAAGGGACGGGGTGAAAGTGATTATAAAAAATTAAATAAAACATTAAAATATATTTAAAAAGTATATTTCTTATAACTGCTTTTTATTATTTACTTGATTTCCAGTAGTGTCTTATTTTAGATTTATAACAGTAGATTTATAACAGTAGTGTCTTATTTGTCACTTCTGTCTAACCTAGTATCAGAATATGATACTTGTGAGATGCTGAACTGCATTTTAACTTATCAGCGTTTATTTCAATTTCAAAATCTCATTCATATTTAAAATTCATATTCATATTTAAAAAGTATATTTCTTATAACTGCTTTTTATTATTTACTTGATTTCCAGTAGTGTCTTATTTTAGATTTATAACAGTAGATTTATAACAGTAGTGTCTTATTTGTCACTTCTGTCTAACCTAGTATCAGAATATGATACTTGTGAGATGCTGAACTGCATTTTAACTTATCAGCGTTTATTTCAATTTCAAAATCTCATTCTTCTGAGCTGTCTCTTTTTGTTTCACAGTATTCTGCTTTGTAAGTCATATACAGCGTTGGTAACGTAAGATATTTTGAATGCGTAAAAATAAACCATGAGTATGTTTATCACCCGATTACTACCTAGGACTCCAGACTCTCTTAATCGAGGCCTTGTGTACTCGGTAAATGAATCTACTTCTGAAACTCTGTTTTTAGAAGTGTTTATATGAGAGGGAAATTTTATCTTAGAAGTGAAAAATTACGATATTTTGTTTTCCATACTACTGAAATACATGTAAGTGTATGTAAAAATTCAATTATTTGCAGCTAATAGATGCAAATATGTATATTCATTTTCAGTATTTATTTTCAGAAGTTGTATTTTATACTTTAGTTTATTTTTGCTGTTGCAATTGTTATTGTGGGTATTTTCTTCAATATGCAGAGTTCACTGATTGGGAAGAAATGCAGCAGACACATATACGTATATTTATAAATAAGCATTCTTTTTTCTAACTTTAAATAATCGCTATAAGCGATGAACTAGTTGTTAAATTACTGAAATCATGTCATTCGTAATATTTCACATTTTGTGCAGCGAATTTTCAAAGAAAGTAGCCAACATAATGTAACAAAATCTTAAGAAGTTGTTGATTTTATAAGCATAAAAGATGATCAATCGGTCTACCTAGAAATCAGTGGAAACTGAAGACAGCGAGCCTCTGAACACGTCATAAAGGACCTATTTTCAGGCCTTTTATTCACACCTCTCCCTTCTCAACTGAATGCGGTATGAAGCAATGCATGTGAACGGAGTTTAAGGGAATAAAAAGGTATAAGTAATAAGGCATTTTAAGTCTTTGTTGGAATAAAATTTTTCTCGTTTATTAGCAGCATATTTTTTATTCTAATTAATAATTAACTGAAAAATGGCTGTTTCTGTAAACTGTCAGATATGCAAATTATTAATTTTTAAATAACTTAAGGGATGTATATGTATCAGTGATTAATTTTATACATTCTTTTTTGACCGATGCTCTGTTTTTTACTTTAAGGGAGCACCTGGAGCAGTTATTACCAAACGGTCAGATGGTAACGGATACAATTTTAGAGGTTTGGTTGTGGATTTCGTCAGAGCTGTGTCAAAAGAAATGAACTTCACGTAAGTAATTTAAATTATTCCCCTAAGTGGAAAACTTAATTTTTAAGATCTTACTTTTCATTTGTTCAGATGTCATGCATGTTATGCCTTTCCAGTGTAAACTTGCTAGAACATGTGTTGCACCGTACAGGCTGTATCTTTAAAAATGGAATTACTTTTATAAAAATTATTAGAAATTTAACAGTCGGCAACAGTTCATTACTATATGAAGAAAAATATGAATAGTCACATTAATATATGTTATAAGGTATTTCTCTCGCCTTCTTAGCATGCCTTCGTGGTGTAGTGGTCAGTGCGCTCGACGCGTATTCGAGAAGCCCGTGGTTCGAGTCCCGGCGTGGGCATTACTCATCTTTCATCGCTTCTGCTTTCAAAAAATACCTAATGTCCCTACAATGTAACATACATAAATCGAGAATAATGTACTACATATGATGAATTTATTTCAAAGGAATAAAAAACATTTAGATTTATGTTCTTTTGCTCGTAAAAATTTCTTCACATCATCTGTTTTTTACATGACACTTTCTTATACTTTATTTCCTTTGTCTCAAAACAAATGTCATTTTTTCCAGCCATAGTTTAGTTTTCTTAAATTTTGAAGTGGTCTGTATTAAAGAAGACAGCATTTGTCAAAAGTTTAAAGCAAACTTAAAAGGTCACTCGATCATTTTTTCACTGTTAATTACGGTTGGAAAATAATTTAAAATACGGACTTAATTTCAAAATGTACCCGTTCGGATTTTAAAATAAAATAACAATTTTTTAAAAAAAATAGAGGAAATTTATTTAAAGTTATGATTAAACGTAAACGGCAAATCCCACTCGTAATGCCGTTTAACAGTGTTTGAAACACCGATAGCGAACATCAAAAACTGAAATACGGTATCATACTCTCTGCAATTTACTTTTAAAATGAATTTCCTGTAATTAAGGTGTTGAAAAATTACGAAGAAGAAATTTAAAAATAATATTTAACAAGTAATATTTGAAAATGTTTCAGTAGGTTTGAATTAAAATACGATATACATATCCAAAAGGATAACGCGAAAGCCCATTTAGGAAATTGGAATACTGATGTTAGAGCAGAAGATGTTTAGGAAAAGTGAAATTTACTTTCAAAGTGACAGCTTCCAAACCGTCCCATTCGAACATGCTTGTTCTCGAATATTTTAATGCCGTTTAGTCTTCAGAATACCAAGTATCTGCACAAAACTTGGATTAGTTATTCAGAAAATTTTTTACAAAAATGTTTTGAGTAATCAGGAAATCGAAAAGTTACACCACACCAACATTTCAGCTATTTTTGTTTCTTTCGTTTTGATTGATGCAAATCTTGTTTAAAAGAGAAATGTATTTTTTAGCCATTTCTCTTGCAAAAATGTGGATATTTCCACTTCCGTATATAGGGGAAATTTTTTTTCCCAGCTAATCCTAACTTAAGCAGGCTCAATGGTGCTGACAACAGGGATACTGCAAGATGAAGAACATACACAAGTTAATTTTCATAGCCTTTAAAGCACTGTGGAACCCATTTTATGATGTGAGTTGATGCATTGTCATCGTGATACACGGCAAATTTTTCAGAATACAAAATTTGAAAAACTGGGTAGACTTCGTTTGACAATAATCCTTGACAGTAGTGGGACCATCAAGAAAGAATTAATGTTCGTGAAAAAATGCCATAGCTCTCGCTGACTTATACAACTCTGCGGCACAGAGCTTCACAAATCCACGTTGTTCTTTACAATGGGTATGAGACAATCTGAATCAAGTAACCCTGAAATCTGTACTTTCTACACATAAAATTCCCCCAAAGTAGGAAAGATGGTGAAGGTGGAGTCAGCATTGAAAAATACACATTTTGCTCTGTATACTTTCAAAGTTTTGCGCTCCTGACACCCCCGAAAACAGCAATTAGCATTGACGAGTATTATCGGTGGTTTGCTTCAGCTGTTCTAATGTGAATCTTAATATTTGAAACCTCTAGCAAGCATATTTGTAAAAAATCAGTGAGTATATTCAGAAAAATGTAAAGTTCTGGTCCTTGTTTTATGTTTTTGACCACAATTTATTTCAACACCAGCATCAGTTTTTCTGATAACTTACCTTAGCAGTTATTCTGACTGCTTGAAATTATTTGTGTTTTATGTACAAGGACATGATCCTGGATACTGCAGTCTATAATACTTTAGGGGCGGGGTAATCACCTGCTTCCTTTATAATAGATACGTCACAATGAGCACTAACAAATTATTCTGTTTTAACAACTGGAAATGCTTTTAGTAATTCAGACTTGAAATTTTCCCAGTTATATGATTCAGATCCTGGGTCTCCCAACAAGAACTTTCCTATACTCTTCTGCCAGCTAAGGGCTTGACCTTTTAAGGCTGTAGTAGCTATGATCACCTTTTGTAGCTGATTCACGGGGTGTAAGGTGAAATGTAGGTCCAATTGCTCCAAAACTGTCAGGACTGAGCCCTTGCGGTCAAAAGTTGCTGTTGGTTTCATAGATGCATGCAACATTTTCGCGAGGAATCCAAACCCTTCTACTGGATTCGTGGATGTTGTAGGGACCCTGAAAGGTCGGAGGGGTCAACGTAAACTTCCCGGATTCTAACGACATGGTCCGTTAAGAAAAATATTTTTGGGCGCCAAATGTAGAGTTTCTCACTTTGGAATTCTAAGTTAATGTTGGAAGTGAGGAATCTAAGAACTGATAAGCGAATAATCGCTAGAGTTCGGTGACAAGAAACAACAAGATAGAAGGGTAACTAACCCTTTATTATTCCAATAAGATTTAACAAAACTCCGCCTGGGAATGTACAAGCAAAGCCCGCACTTGGGCTTGAACTTAAAAGACTAAGAATTAAACTAAAACTAAGATTAACTAAAGAAGTATAGCCGAAGCTATCAAAGGTTCAGATTGAGCTGGCCCCTTAACTTAATTGACTACGAAGCTTAGCAAGGGCCTGAGTACGGCCGAACGTAGTAACAGCTTTGAGAGAGAGAGTGGCCAAAAAGGCAGACGCGCGTAAATCAGAAACTCTGATTCTCTCTGCCTCAGTAAGTAACTTCGTGGTTTCAATACCGCTCCTTCTCATTAAATATTCAGCAATATTCCAAAAGTACGTTCTGGCCGGAAGTAGTAAGTTGAAGTTAAGAATTTGACAGGAAAGGAGCTTTAATTTAAAATTTAACTGTTAATAAAATTAACATAATCCTTACAACACATTGCTCGATTTGATCGCCTTTTGTGAGATAATGTTCTTCAGTAGTTAAGTACATAATGTAGACTCATGAATATTGTAAATAAAATATATTTTCTAGTGGATTAACAAATTTTTCTGGTTAAGAATTTTGATTTAATTGTGACTGAAACAAATTTATGCTTTCTTCTTTACTTTGCATTGCACGAGAAGTTACATAACATCAAACTATATATTCTTTGGTACAATTCCGTGTTTTGATTAAATGATTGCTTAATTATATTAGAAATTCCGATTGGTAATGCTTTCCTTATATTAGAAATAAACAGTTTCTCGGTCAGTCTAATAAATTACCACATTTCTTCAGTCCTAAGACTCATTTTTCTAAGTGTCACTAAAAGGAGTTGCTCCTAGGAATTGATGTCTTTTTAGAGTCACAGATTTTTCCAAATATCTAATTATCTTGAAGCAATAATTTTTTCCAAATTATTAAACGAGAATTTTATTGTTGCTAATAATTCAAAATCTAGTGACCAAAAAAGTGCTTGGTAAATTTGCTTTAGTATTTTATTTTCTTAGAGTTTCTTTCTTTGTGGTATTGAAATTATTAGGCGTGTTTTAAAATCGAGGGCGTCTTAGTATCAAAGAAATATGGTAAAATCTGTTTGAGACATTTGCTTTAGATGTGGCTCGGAAATTAGTATATCAAAAACTTCCAAACGCAGAAAAAGCCATATTTACAAACAATGAAATCCAGTGCGTTCTGGGAATTTATATGCGTCGTCATACAAAGGGTGTTCACACATTTTACAGCAAATACACAAATACAGCGGATGTTTGTACAATTCGGAGCCGCTTAATTAACTTTCAAAATGTAAAAAGTATTTTTTTAAATGTTCGATCTGACAGCCTTTTTTTCTAAACTACAAGTCTGCTTCATGATTTCCATGACAGAAGGGCTTTTCTTAAAATTTCCTGGAGTCCTTATTTAAACCCCCTCTTCCATTACGTTCCAAATTCTATCAATCGTAGGGGGTTTGCGCTTAAGAAGAGTTCTTTTCAAGAGACCAAAGGTCTAATAATTCATAGATGAAACATTAGGAATTTCGTAGGAAAACACTGAAAAGGTGTATTTCCAACACCTGTAATCAGTCTTCATTTTTTCAAGGAATGCAATGGTACTTTTCGAAGTATGCTTGGTTGCTTTGAAGTTTCACTCTTTGAAGAAAGTCATTGGGATAAAGAAATGGAATTTCTTTCGTAACTATTGGGCGTAAATCTTTCTCTTGATAGTATGATGAGTTGATTTTAACATTTTTTCACTCTTCTTTGTTTTCATTTCCCATTCTAAGAGAATCCTGTGACAATCATATACCCCTTACGGAATTGTTTTTTACATTGACGGAATTAGGTTTGTATATTTTTTTATCTTCTTCTTCAATGATAAATAGACTTTTTCTGTTGCAATCATTTAGATGAAGCCAAGCTTCATAAAGGTCACAGGATTCTCTTAGAATGGGAAATGAAAACTAAGAAGAGTGGAAAAAATGTTAAAATCAACTCATCATACTATCAAGAGAAAGATTTACACCCAATAGTTACGAAAGAAATTCCATTTCTTTATCCCAATGACTTTCTTCAAAGAATGAAACTTCAAAGCAACCAAGCATACTTCGAAAAGTACCATTGCATTCCTTGAAAAAATGAAGACTGATTACAGGTGTTGGAAATACACCTTTTCAGTGTTTTCTCGTTTCCTTTTACCTCCTGCTAAATAATTTTCGTACAGAGATTTACAAATTGTTTAACGTTGAGCCACATGCCTCAGCAAATCTGTTGAAAATAAAATAATAAATACTGGTTTATTATTTTATTTATTGTTGTAATAGCTGTATTTAAAGATTTTGCCATTGATTTCTGCATTAGTGTATTTTCTTTTGTTACGAAACATCTAGCTTTAGAAACATTAGGAACAGTGAGTACCTTCTTCGGGAATTAGTTTGGAAGTTTCTTTCTACATAGAAGTAAAGATTGAATTTTCCCTTTTCAATTAATAATGTTGCTTATATTGTAAATAGAATTTTTAACGCCACGTATTTCAGAATGTTGTTGAATTATGGAATAGGAATATTTCGCTTTGGAGAGCGCAAAATAGTATCTTTCAATCCACAACTTGTTTACATACGACATTTAGAAAAAAGATCGAAAAAGACGTTCTCGGCTTTCAACGTCAAACTTCTTTGTTAGAGAGAATTCAATAAATACATAAATAGTAAATTACTTATTTATCGAAAAATAAGCACAATTGTAGCAATAGAGCATAAATGCCACGTTTGTTAACAGTTTGCACTTTACTGCATATATGTGTGGAGATGTATGTGTTTTTTATTTTTTTAGATCAGAACAAGAAACAATTGCAATCGTTCAAAATTTAATTACTGATTGAGATTTGATTGTCAGGTTTAAAATTTTCGCTTTGTTAAGAACTTTTGATTAATGAAGAAATTCTGCCACATTCTAAAAGCACCAGGGGTCTCTCTTTCTCTTTCAGGAATTAAATAATGAATATAATTAAATAATATTACCATAAAAAGTTAGAGAATTAAATTGTAAAGGTGATTATTTTATTATTTATTGCTTATTCATTTATTTATTAGTAGTAATTTATTTATTTATTTAAATTTATTTTAAGTAGGAATTTATTTATTTTTAACTAGGAAACGGGAAAAATGTGCAATGCCCTCCCCGGGGTTCGAAACCGGACCTCTCGAGTGTTCTACCGTTACACAATGAAGGCATGTTGGAAGGAAGAAGAAAAATCCCCGTTTTAAAGGGCGACTGGGGTTTAGGGGACCCAATCGCCAAATCCTGGTGGTGACGAATTATTGTCCGCTAGCTTTTATTTCGTGCGCCACTGTAAAATCATTAGGGTTTTTGAAGCAGGAAACGGGAAAATTATCAATGCCCTCCCCGGGACTCGAACCTGGATCATTCAAATACGCGCCGAGTGTTACGCCGTTACACTGCGAAGGCATGCTGAAAGGAAGTAGACCTTATAAAATGCATACGAAATATGATCAAATAATGAATTATATTATGAATTAAAAAATAAATTCTTTTCATTTTTAGCTTATAAATTAAATCTGTAATTCAGTTGAAGAGAAACAGCTCTGTTTCTCATCTGCGATCGAATTTTTTAAGGAACTTTCAACTTATTCTGTAAAATTTTAGAGTAATGTTAATATTTTAATCTAAATTTTCTCAACTCGAAGTGAATTGTTAGCGCAGACATTAGTATAATACTTTCCTTACGATATCAATGTTCATTTCCCTTAATTATCCTTCATTTTATATTTATTCGCATTATGAAACTTCATTAATTGTTCAGCTTCTAGTCACATTCCTTTTATTCTAAAAGCATGTGATATTTTTTAATCCATGTATTGTGACAATTGCAAGATACTTATTTCTTTTGCAGATACGAATTTGTCATTCCAGCTGATGAACAATATGGTATTCGGCTACAGAATGGAAAATGGACAGGAATGATTGCTCAAATCATCAATGGGGTAGAGACTTCTATCTTAATTATAAAACTTAAAAAAATATTGCTTACTTACTCTTGATGTTTATCACAACAGACATATAATCTGAATTTTATAAATGTTTTACAAAGTGCATAAAATTTTTAAATACTTTGTATCTTTAAAATACTCTTTTATTATTTTTAATCAACATTAAAAAGAGAAAGTGTTTTTATTAATCCTAACGGTTTATTCTATTTCTCATAGATTATCGTCTCAATTTTGTTCACACTAAATTTTCATGATCTGAGTACTTACAGTTTTGAAATACTCCTCTTTTGATACTTCAGAAGGTGGAAAAATTAATTTGACACTGATGTTAAGTTCTAGGCTTTAATACTTTTGAAATTATAGTTAATTTTTTACATATGATGTGCATCTCTTGTATCTACTCTTCATATTAGATCGCACAAAGTAATTTTGTTTTCTGCTACTTTTAAAATAAACGCAAAAACCTCACAAGAGAACGTTTTTGTTCCTTTTTAAATTGCTGAACCTTCATGTCAATGCAAAATTTCAAAATGCCTTAACTACTGCGAAATACTGAGTTGATCTCTTCGTTTAAAAAATTCCTTATTATTTAAATGCTTTATTATGTTGTAAGCAACATTAAATGTAAATAGTACCTGAAATATTTCATGTCACCTGAAGTTTCTGAGCAGATCTCGGTGCAACAGTAATATAGTTGTATTTGTTTATAGGAAGTAGATTTTGCTGCACAGACCTTCATCCTAACTCCAGAGAGACTAGGAGTCGTTAATTTTACAGGAGCTGTGGATGAATCATCTTATGCGTTACTAACAAAACGACCACAACAAGAACATAAGTACCTTTTTCTTGCTCCATTTACAAATGATGTAAGTATCATTATCGAAAAACCTGTTTTTCAGAAATCTGTAAATTTATTTATAAGGGAAAATTATGCAACATGTTTTTAAGAATAGCATGCTTTCTTAAACATTTTGTTTAATTCTGAACTATTATGCCTTCCTTCTCAAAACCAGTGTAAGCAATTGGTTTGTGATTTCGAGCTAATTTACAAAACGATTCACCGCAAAAGTCCTAAAAGCTTCGAGTTAATTAACATTAATTGATAATGCTCTTGTTATGGCTTACCCCACCTGTCTGAATCAGAACAAACCCTCTAATTTTATCATGGGAACGAGTGCAACATTGCGTCTGTGATTGAAACGGGTATTGAGCACCATACATATATGACAGCTGAGCTTCTGTCCCAATTTCGATGGAGAGACTCTGGGAGGACGGTCCGAGAATCTCCCACCCTTCTTTCCCTACCAACAGGCCACTTGAGAGGACTTTCGACTCCCCGTGTATTTTGAACGCTCCCATGTCACATAGACTCTGTACTTTTACAAATATCAGTGCCTTCCCCGGGATTCAAACCCGAGCCCAGCAATACTGCACTAACCACTACACCGATCAGGGCTACACAATTGATTATATAATAACCTAGACTTATAACGAATTTATGAAAATTCTTAGATTTTTTGTCTAGTATTGAAAAGTAACTGAGGCTCTCCAGTGGCCAAGGAGGTAAAACAAATAGTTCTGCCCCGGTGATATCTCTGTGAATGGACTTGTGTTTCCCCATATCTCTTGTGTTTTATTAGACTTAATTTCTTCAATTTCTGGTGTGTAACTTAGAAATGGCACGCAGAAAATTGATTCATCCAATAAGTCAAATTTCTGTGAAGCCAACTAGAGCGATTTAGAGAAGATCTCTTACAATGTTAAAAGGTTTTGGACAAATTATATTGTCCATATTAATACAAAATGTGTGTGTTATTAAATATTTAGATTCGTCTTTCCCCATCGAGCAGATTAAGCATTTTTTCTCGTTCTCATTAAACAAGGGCTTTCTCTATAACTTAAATATAATTTCGAAGTCAAAATAAGAATTGCATACAAACTGAGTCAAACTGAATCTGCAGCAAACAGGATTTTATACACTTTAAGTGTTGGAGAATTTGCTTTATTAAAGCCCATGACGCAATTTACAATTAATCGTAATTAAGCAGATTTGCATTTTATGTAAATAATTAAAAACAAAATTTTATCGAATGGATGACTGTTAAGACGTTTCATGCATATCTAACGAATATACTTTATCACTCAGCAATTTTAATTTTACCAGGTTATTTCTTCTAAAACCTTTTTTTTTTAAGTATCACCTTTTCGACAGTGCTTAGTTTCTGATTGATGTGAAATGTATAGAAGACTTTAATTCTTAAAATAATAGATTCCAGTAAGTGTTTTCATGTTTCAAAACACAGTACTTTCTCACGCTTTCTAATTTTAGACGTGGATCTGCTTATTTGTAACTGTCGCTCTTATTGGACCGATTCTGTACTTAATTCACAAAGGAAGCAGCTACTATGAGCACTATGATCTGGTGGAAGACAAAGGATTATTTCGACTCTCAAATTGTGCTTGGTATGCATTTGGTGCTATTGTTCAGCAAGGTAATGTATTCAGTATTCAGCAAGGTAATGTATTCAGTAATGTATTCAGCAAGGTAATGTATTAATGTAATCACATGCATACTATTACTATATATGCACACGCTTTTATAAGTATTTATTACTTTAAAAGAATTAAAAATAAACAAACACTGAATACATAGCTCTTAAAATAAAAGATTGCTAAAAAAAGTAAGATAATTATATGCCCCAAACCGTTTCCTCAAATTATAAAAATGACTCTTTGATGATTATGAAGACTACTGATCCGTAAATAAAGAGGGAATTTTGATATAAGTTCTAATTGAACATTCTGCAAGACTTTGAAGCAGTTTTTTTTTGCGTTCTTTTTAAGATTTATACATTACGAAATCCCCTATCCTCGTTTTTCATTCAGAAATTCCGAAGATGGTAATTGCGTCTAATCGAAATAATACTGTAACAGAACAATTACATCAAATTTTAACGCTTCTGGCTGTGTATTCTATGTCAGTAGAAATAGCGTGATGACGTAGTTCCTATATACATTAAATATTACGAATCTGAGAATATCTTCAATACAAAGAGGCTGCTCGAGGCTTAGTGCCGCCGCATTTGGATAACTGTTGTACAGTCATTAAGTTATTTTGAAGCAGGAGGCATGAAAAAGGAGCAATTTCCTCTTCGGAACTCGAACCTGGACCTCTCGAATACGCGCCGAGGGTGCTACCATTACTCCACGAAGATATGCTGGAAGGAAAACGAAAATACCTTATAGTATTTGTCATTTTGAAGCAACTGGTGTATTATATGAGATGAAATAATTTTTAATGAGTTTAGAAAAAGAAGAAAATCCAAATAAATAAATAAATAAATAAATATTTTATATAGAGTTAATTATTTTTGAAGCAATAACTAATGAAATAATTTCCCCTCAGTTCCTTCAAAGTGTGTTAGAAAGCATTTTATAAGTCCTTATTTAGTTCACTCATAGTGTCGATATAATAAAAAAAATATTTAGCTTAACATCCTTCCCTAAAAATAATTTAAATATCTGAAAATTCGTTACTTAATTTGATTACACTTAATTATGAAAAATCTTCTGAACAATAATTTCATATTTTTGTAAAACAGCACAATCAAATTGTAGAAACTTTAAACAAAATTTAAATACAAAAAATAGAGGCCGCAGCATGTTTTATAATTTTGTCTCATTGGGAAGTAACCTGAGTTAAGTTCACACGAAGATAACAATTTTGAGTTTTAAACTGACAAAATACTATTAGGAAAAGCGAAGTTACAGCACGCCTTCAATAGTCCGATTAAATGAACAATAAATATGTGAAAGCAAAGCTATGTTCTGAAATCAGTCCTTTTATAAGGACCTCGGTTTTCAAGAAATAAAAATTTTTTAAAAATTTAGGAAAATAGCTTTGTTAAGTCTTTTCATAATGCTGACTACTATAAAGATTCGGGTTTCAAGAAAAGTTTATTTACGCTTTACAAATGTTAAAATGAATATCCTGTAAAGTAAGACTAAAATCCAAAAAAGGTACTAATTACATTTAAAAGTAAGCTATCATGCGTAATACAATTACAAATGTTGCATCTTAAACTGAAAAATCAATGTCAGATTCGCTTGAAAACAAAATGAAAAATATTATTATCCTGATTTTGACACTGTATATATAATTAAGATGTAAAATACATAAACTCTAATTGATATTAAACATACGAGGTGCAAAACAATACTTTCCAGGAAGGAATGTTCCTGCCTCAACGGAACGTGGTACCTTGGTACGCAGTTAAATCTATCACTAAGGTTCTATTCTATAGGCTACAATTACCGTAGAAAGCCATGTCTGTTTGCACACTATCTTTTTGTGAAGTTGTACTTTATTAGTTTCTCGATTAACATTTGTCTGATTTGAAGAAACAAAGAATTTGTGTTTGTGAATTTTGTTTCAAACGGAATAAGACGGCATTCAACACCAAGCATTTGAGAATGAAGCTGTCGGTCATCCTCAGAACTGCGAATGGTTCAAACGGTTTAAAAATGAAAGAATAGTTGTTAACTATGAAGAACGGTCTGGACACCCCTCACCTGGGATCATTGAAACAAATATGGCAGAAATTCGCGAACAAAATCCCTGATGATCGCCGTTTAACAATTAACTATTTTTGGGAAGGCTTTGGTTTGTCATTTAAGACTCGTCGGAGAGCTTTAATTGATAAATCAGCTCAGCAAGATTCGCAGTCCTTTCCTGACAACTGATTAAAGATTAGATTAATAGATTAAGACGATATAGCTCGAGAGAAGGAATTACACTCGAGGAAAATTACGAAAATTCCCATGCTGCTCATTTATTTTCGTGGAATTGAACTTGGGTTGAAATTTAAGTTCTCAGCGACCTTTACTGTTCAGTCGCTAGTGAATACTGGCTGAAAAAAGAACACAAGTTTCAAGTATGCATGAAGCTTAAAGATGTGAAAACGTCCAAAACATCGCTTTTCAGATCATAAACAGGAGATGAAACATGAGGATTCTGAAGAGAAAGTGCATTCGTTTTAATGGAAATCATCTAAATTGCCACATTAATTTTTTTTTTCAAATACGAAGCAACAGGAAAAAAATTGCTGACCTGTGTTTCTGGTGTTAGAGTGCATATCAATGAGCAGTGATGAATTTATGAAGTAGAGTCCCATGAAGCAGAGTTGAGCTCTTTAGAGATCCTCATCTTAAAACACAGAGTATAATTATTATTTTTCACACTACTTTTAATTTGAAACATGGAAATGATTTCATGACAACATGATGGGGTCATACGTTGCATGACCCCATCAATCGAACTCTATCCGTAAGACATTCATCACACAAGTTTAGACAGCGGATGGGTTATACGACTGGGATGTTTTTGGGCAAACTACGAAATAGTTTCTGTGGAAGATCCTGAACTCTAGAAAAGTAAAACTTGAGTATCGTATCATAGCAATGCACTGACCCATTCTTGTCTCGTTATGCCTCAATTTTTGACAAGCACGTTTCTTTTCCTCAGACCCTTAGTCCCCCGATTTAACCATCTGAGATTATTTTTTATTCCGATAAATGGAAATGAAACCCGAGGGAAAGATATTTGAGACATGTTAAATTAAAGAGAACGCAGGATGCACTGAAAAGAATGACAGAAAATGACTTCCATAGATGCTTAAAAGCATTATAATCGCGCTTGGACTAATGCATCAGTGTAGCAGGAGAGTACTATTTCAAAGGAGATAGAGGAAGTAAAGTTATTACCTTTAAGTGTACAGCTTTTTAATAAATAAATTCTAGGAAGGTTTGGCTTGCACCTTGTGTAAAAATTCTGGATATTTGTGATACAAAAGTAATATGCAACACTAATTTTCAGGAGGAGTACATCTTCCAGCAGCAATATCTGGTAGAATACTGGTTGGGTTTTGGTGGATATTTGTAATAGTGACTGTGGCAACTTATAGTGGCAATCTTGTGGCTGTTCTTACTTTTCCAAAAATAAGAAATCCAATAAATAATCTTGAAGATGTTTTAGCTCACAAATCAGAAGTAAAATGGGGCACTTATGATGGCGAGGCTCTCATTGAGCAACTGAAAGTGAGTACACTAGTTTCAACTGATAATTTATGATTTGTTTCAGCATTTTATAACTCTATATATTGGATAAAATATTCATAGAATTTTTCTAAAATAGCTTTTCATTATAGAATGAAATTTACCTTATAAAATCAATCTATTTACTACAAGATGTTTTCCTTCTTTTTTAATAATGAACTTTTGAAGATGGAGTATATTTGACTAATAGAGAAGTATAGAAATATCTCATAACAGTGTTTTTGGACTGTACAATGCAGCTAATCCTAAATTACTGTATGTTACCTTACATGAATTATGTTTAAGGTTTTCTATTGGAATTAAAAAGTAATTTCTGCGGAAATGTTCAGCGTAACGAATATTAAAGTAAAGGAGAACAGAATTTTAAATAGCGCTTTTTTAATCAAACCTTCTAAAACTGAGACGATCTCTCTTATTGGAGTCTCAGCTCGTTGGTAAATCCTAAAAATTCATTGATGTAAACTTAGTGAGGTACTTTCAGAATTGTTGAAAATTTTACAAATTTAGTCAAAAACGTTTATTCACTCTATTCGTTAAATTATTCCCCACTATGTCATACGAGATGCGTGCGTGCATTGAGTCTCCTACAAATATTGGAAGAATCTCGTTTGATTATGATTTTAAAGCATTTTTATGCTGCTGCAACTGGTGTACTTTGATTTGATACATCATTGCAGATAACAAAACAAGCTTTAAAATTTACATTTAGTGAATAAAACATAATATATTTATCTTCTAAAATTATTTTAATATATATATATATTTATTTTAATAAGGGGCAAAAGTAGGAATACGCATTTTCAAGTAATTAATTAACATTATACTTTCATGTTTTAATATTTTATTCAAACGAAATCTAATTTATTGTTCGGTTTATTTTTAAGAGTTCTTCATCAAATACCTTCAAGGAAATAAGCAAAGGCTTAATGGTTTTTGGTCTCAAGCAAACATCCTCGTTACTGGAAGATGTAGAAGCTGGAAATCTCGTCTTCATAGCACCACGAACTATACTTCAAACGATCATAGGCGAAACTTACAATGAGACAGGCCAGTGTCCATATGCGATTGGGTCAGAAAATGTCTACACAGAAAGAGTTGCTTTAGCTGTTCCACAAAATTGGCCTTATCTCCACTTTATGAATAAAGAGTCAGTTTAATTTTGAATTTTTATATTGCAATGATTATAGTTATTGGTTTAAATTGTATAATTTTCCAATTCTTAATTTTTGACGCTGTTATTATAAGAATTTTGGCATCGTACTCCCAATATGAATCAGATTATGTATTCACAGTATGAATTGCATTTATCTAAATAATAAAAAAAATTCAGAAGTAAAAACAAGCAGTGATGTTTAATAAAGGAAAAATGCTTCGAAGATATTACTATCCCTGAACTAGGCAAAATCCCCAAAGTATATTTCGAGCTAGGCAACTTTTAATACTATGAAATGAAAGCTCTAAGAACAGGTGAATTACTCTATCGTTTAACTAGTATTACGTCAATTTTCAGACTGTGTATCTCGACCTAAAAGTTAGAGTATCATGAGTATTTGCAATTGTTTGCGAATTAATTACATTTTACGAATAATAAAATAAGCATAACTATTATGAAATTAATAAATGTAAAAACGAGCTACAATTGCTAAATATCTAAAATCTCTACAGACGATCCATACAGGAAGCTGTTGATCGCTAAAGGCAAACTTTTCGAGATAATTCTGTAGATTTTAAAAATTTTAGAAAAAACGCAAATAACGTTGCATTGCCAGATGTCGTCACAGTTGAATATTCAACCGATTATATGAATATTGATTTAGCAACTACTTTTCTTAATGATATGTATTTCTAAATAAGGAAAATCGCTTATGCTTTCCTGTACCATATTAAATAAGTTCATATTAGCAAAAAAGATATAAATTCTTTGAGTCAACCACTGTAAAAATATGAATAAACGCCAGTAAAAAAAAAGTATGTTTGTAGCCATAAATAATAAATAAAAAATATAAATCGATGGAATTCATGAATTAATAGATATATGCAAATTAAGGATTGCATTTATCTATTCATTTATTGTTTTTTTTATTTTAATTTTGAGAATCCCTCTCCTGGGGGCCTCAAGAAATAGCATTTGAAACTTCGTGAAAATAGCAAAGTAGTGGTAAATCGCCAATATTTACATTTTTTGTATGCCTTTTTATAAGCATTTTTATGTATAGATATTATTTTATGTAGTGTTTTAGCAATTAATTTGTTACCGACAGCTATTTTCAGGCTGAACTTTATAATATTTTTACAACGAAGCTCTTGAACCTGAATTCCTCGAGTTCTTTCGAATTAAAATTACTGCACAGCTCTCATAAATAAGCAAGAAAATCGGGATGAAATTTTACATAACTGTTATATAACCTCAGTTCGGCCTGTGAGGGGCGTTCGATATGTGGGAGGACGAAACGGGATGAAATAACTGCATTATTATTTAGATTTATAGCATCATGATAGGTATCATTATTTGATTTTTGAGAGGTTATTAAATGCTGTCAGTGAGTGATGCTTGTTAGTACTGAAAACATCAAGTATCATTCAGTAATCGAACTTTCGACATAAAAAGGAGCAACACAGACAAGTAATTGATAAACGCGTGGTTTCAGTCTTTGGTAAAACTGGAATTTTAATCTATCTGATCAAATGTTTATGCAAGGCTTAATGAAACTATTTATTGTCCCTTAAATTACCCTTAAAGCCACCACAATAACTCTCAAACAACTTTAAGACCCGTTGGGACCACCAACGATCAATCCTAATTAGTAAACGAAATATGTACATCTTGACATGCAATACTTAAATACAATGAGCCAAACATAGTTATAAGCTTGAATTACAAAATTATCACACAGGTAATACTTGTATTTAAATTGATCAATACATTGCAGCAAATCATCTGATTTGTCAGAATAGATTATTTATCTATTTAAACATTCGCAACTTAAATTGCAAACTCGATTGAGCCTGTTAAAATCAGCTTAGATGAACAGTTTGTCTTATCAACTTTATAATTTTGATCATCTGCTGCTTTTACCCTTTAATAACAAAGTCCACGTGAATACTATGCGTAAATTATTATTATTAATATATGTCTCTTTATATTTTTCTCGTCCAGTCTTAACTATCTCATTTCACAAGTCTCTTTTTTTTCAACCAGTTCCAAGCAACCTCTTCAAAATGGAGTCTGTATACATAATCTATAAACCATAATCAGTTCTTCTGATTAATAAGCCCAACTGTCTTTTAAAACAGATACACTTCTTATCGAGGTTTAAATGTTTGTTAACCAAACCTAATTTACATTTGATATTAGCACTTTTACCACTGATACATTAACAATTCTTTTTATAGTCCCAATGATTATGCCTCAATTTTGAGCACAGGGCACATCGAATCTTATCACCACATTATTAGATGAAAATTCTCATACTCTCGGCATTTGAAACATCATGTCACATTAAGATATTCCCTCAACGATGTTCTGAACCATTTCAAGATTAATTTACCTAATTCACAACGAATAAACCTTCTGAACTTCACAGATTTTACTTCTTCAACCCAATACAATTTTGATGTTGGAAAGATTCTATTCTAGAGTGATTTGAAGACTGTGACGAAGCACACTTTTCTGCTGGAATACGGCGCTTAATAGTTTGCTTTGCTAAGTGCATTCTTTTCAGAGGGAAGTATGTAAAAACTAAGAAAGTTGTTTTAGACTATTATTTTATAGAAGTACGTTAGACCTATTGATTTCCCACTCAATATTTTTGAGGCGAAGGAGTCTAAAGAGTCAGATAATTTTCTTTTCATTAATTTTTATTTAAATTTTATTTTGACGTAAATTTATACTTTCAAAAGAAGAAAAAAAGTGTTGCAAGACAGAAACTGCAAGAAGAATAAATAATTATTTCAATATATAAGTATTTTCTTAGACTAATTAAATACAAAACTATTTAAATGTAACATATGAAAGAAAAATCGAAACACTTAGATTTTGAAATTATATACAAAAAGAGAATACTCACTTTTTGCGCGACAAAGAATGAATCTTAATGACATTTTCTCATCAGGCGCCTTATCTTTTCCTAGGGATAAAAAAATTACAGTCTTTTCCCCCTGATAAAAATGCTGACTTTACTATAGAAATGTACATCACAAGGCTGTCATAAAGAGAAAAAATTTGAAAATTGTTTTCCATTCTTCTATTCAGTGATTATGTTACAGGTGCTTAATTTCCTTTTAAAAGTATCTTTCATAAATAAATTTTTGACGAAAAAGTGAAAGTGAAACAAGAAAAAGAACTACTTCTTCGAGTTTCAAAGCCGTAAATCTTTGAAATTTCCGCAAATTATTATTAGGGCATCAAAGGTTTCGACAATCATACTAACTTAAGTAGTAGATAAGGTATTTAGAACTCGAGACAACATTTTCTTGCTTATTTTTTAAAGTTGTGCGGTGTACTTATGTTTATTTTTTTTAAGGCTGTCATAACTTCGCGGAATTCAAGAGAAATTTAGAAGCCACATATTCGTACTTTCAATTTGCCAAATAAAAAACATTAAAAACTCATTTAATCAGATTATTAGAGTAGTTATGATATTTTAAAGGACTTTTAAGCCTATTGTGATGAGGGAGGCATTGCCACTGCCAGTATAATTCATGTGCTTTACTTACTTTAAAATTTTTTAATAGGATTTCTCGATTATTTGAAAGTGGAATCTTTATTAAGTGGAGAAAGGATGCTTTACCTCCAGATAATGAATGCACCACAAAATCCAAGCCCCAAGCAGGAGACACAAGAAAAATTAATTTATCCCAAATGGTTGGTTCTTTCTACATACTAATGTTTGGACTTTCCGGAGCACTTGCCGCTCTGCTTTTTGAATGTCTCTACCTCAGATCTCGAAACAAAGGACGTCTTCCGAATAACTTTAAAGGCTTGCATTTGAAACAAACGAAGCTTCTTGATTATATACTGAACATGGGTTCTTTGAAGATGGATCAACAAAAAATGTTTGTACAAGCCAAAATGTATCCAAACCAGAAACAGAAGAAAAGGAAAGTCCGTCAAAACAAAAAAAGAAGGCGTTCTAAGACTTTTCATGAAACAGATAATACAGGTATGTTTTGCTTAGCACTCATGAAACGGCAAAAAAAATTGATATTTTCTGAAAGATTTGTAAGGTATTTTCTTCCTTTTTACCACGTACCTTCAGGGTGTAATTGAAAACATGTCCGGCTAGCAATCCGGAGGTCCGGAGTTCGAATCCCGGAGAGAGCACTGCATATTTTTCCTGTTTCCTGCTTCAACAAACCTGATTTCCTCAGATTGTCTCAACAGTGAAGTAAATAAGAATAGATTAATAACTTAGAAACTATTCCCACTTTGACAACATACATATTTTCACGTTATAGCAATAGCGTCGTATGTTCCATCCCAGTGGCCCTTCACCAGTAGTTTCTTACAATTCTTCTACAATTCATCTCCGAAAACAGCTTTTCAAAACCACATAAAAGCTTTGCGGTAATCAGTTGCCTTACTTAATTGCGTTATGTGGTAGATTAATTATATCGAGGTAGTTGACATCAGGTAACCATAGCCCTTGGCATATAAACTTTATCTGAACGTTATGTAAAACACAGAGACATTTAAAAAAATCAGATGTAGGGAAAAGATTTAAAATAAAATTATGCACTAAGAATTTCTACTTTCACACAAATCCTCTTTGCACAAACTTTGATTATGTAAAGAATTTATTTGTTCGTCATTTAAAAGTTATTTTATGCATACATACATAGCAAGGGATTTTTGAGTAGTATTGCAGATAAATCAATAGGTTCTTTGGATTTTAATAATGTGTGTGTGTGTGTGATTATGGCAAAGCCTCGAGGGCTATCTGCCTAAGGGGAGTAGTGCCTTCGTGGAGGACTTTCTAAGGGAAACTGGCTAGTATACACGTTACACATGGGGAAAACCACGAAAACGCCCATGCAGCCAGCCCGTCCGCGGGATTCGAACCTCGGACCGAACTACCAGTGTTCAGCGACTTTACCGCTCGGCCGCTGGTGGGCTGGATTTTAATAATGAATTCCCGATATGTGTAAGTTTAATGCCGTAATAGTTTCAGTTACATACAGCAACAGTTTAATAGAATTTCTACTCAAAATGAACACAATTTACTCGTACTGTTCTACTAAATATAATGAGCAAATACATATAAAAAAATTCTTCCCCTCCCCAAATTTTGCCTTATCTGAATTTTGATCAGGTTTAAAGGAACGCAGTAGAAACTCACACAAAAAAAAATTATCATTAAAACTGTAACAAAATTGTTAGGAGCAGTCAAAAATCATAGTTATAAAAGGGGAGCTCAAGGTTTGATTTATCTGCAAGTTATTGAGAGGTTCTTCAAAAATGTTACAAGTGTTAGAACATTAAAATATATTTCCAGGTACCCAGTTATATAAAAACGTACACAGTGCGTACATGAACTTCAGTTATGCTTAGTATGTACTTTTTATAGTGCTTAATATTATGAATGACAAAAACAACATGAAAAGGTATTTTAATTATTATTGTGAGTAAGTGTCCAATACGTACCTATTATACTGAAACAAAACTTTTGAAAGGCGCAGCATGTCTTCAGCAGTGTAGAGATAAAATATTTAATATTGTTAACGACACGATATTTCTAAGCATAGAATGGAAAAGACAGGCATATATTTACAAATAAATGCTAATAATAAATATTTATCCCCTCCCAGAAGAATGAAAAAAACTTCGCTTCCTTTATCTCAGTTTGCCCATTCTCATCCCAAAGAACTTTGGAACTTCTTCTAAAAATATATTCTTTGCGTAATATTAAATGTATGCATTTTTCCCCCTGCTGCTTGCAGTAAACTGTTTAAACCATTCAAATGCGAAGAGTATATTTAGAATAGAAAAGAAGATCATTCTGTAGAGATATTAGATTTTTTTCGAAGCAGAAATTATATAAAATAAGCTATGTGTTCTCCGGAATTTTAACAATGAATCCTCCAGTTGCTAGCTGGACTTTCTACCAGTTACACAACGACAGCATGCGCCAGGGAATGGATATTGAATGTTTAGAATTCTTTCGAAGGTAGTAAATTTGTTATACTAACAATTACTTTAAATACAAGCACGATATAAGAATCCAAGTTAAAAAAATACACTGCGATACACCTGATTCATAAAATACCACGATGTCAGTTTATCTAACGATACATGTCAGAATAAAAAATAATTTTTTTTTTAAATCCCTTTCTATTTTTGCAAACAGTGGGCCTAATTGTTAGCTTTTACATCAGCTGCTAGCCGCTGTGTTAAGCTGAGGCTGATTAGATTGTTAGCCGGAAACCAGGAGTGTAGGTTCGACTCCTGCGTAAGGCATGATTACATGTGCGTGTCTTTCCCTTCTGACGTGTTTAATATCGGTCGCCCCCTGCGGTGCAAATCCAGAAACGTCTTCGATGAGGAAGCATCAAAATAACGAATGAGTTCGGCCAATCCCGACGAACGATTTCGAGCAAGTGTCCAGCCATTAAAAAGAGGAAAAGAAAAATGAACTGTTAACCTTCTGGTTAACAAGCAGATACATTTTACCACCTAAGGCGCATCTCAAGATTGGCCCGACTAGTACATTTTCCATTAGCATGCAATTTATTATATTTTCATTATAATCCTCCTTTAATATTTTATTTAAAATAGTACCTCATTTTCGCTACTCAGATACAGCTCTGTCTTATTTGTTCTTTTCTTTTCCTTCCTCTTTATCCCACGAAACATTTTACCTTTTATAGACCTGCCACTGTATCAAGTGTAAATAGAGAATTTCATTTGTTCTACCATCCTACGAGCCTTATGACATAGTCTCTGAATTTGATAATCTCCAATGTAATATGTGTAATTACTAAGTGGCCATTAACTCAGGAATGTCGTTCTAAGTATTCCTTTAAATGTGCAAAATTATCTCTGCTTTCAGCATATATGGAAATTACTATTCTCCAGTTGAACCTCTGCAGGTAATTTAAGTGTGTAATTGAAGTAATTATGAGATATGTGACAAAGGATTCGGAGCTGAGAAATGGCAACAGATTAGCAGATTAGTAGCAGATAGGTCATGTTTCACTTGACAGTTGGGGATAGTTAATTATAATGGCAATAAATCCAACTTGAGAATTCAGTATAAAGATCCAGAAACGCAATGAAAGCATAATTTCTATAGAAAACCCAAGAATAAATAAATAAAAAAAATCTGATGTGTACACCGCATGACTTCCTTGTACGGAATATTAAATTATACGCATTTTTCATTGAATTTCATTTAAACGTATTGGATCGAATTAACTACTTCGTCGATAGCGCATAAACCACAATAGAATAAATGCACTCTTTAAAATTCATTATATTTGTTTACCATAGCAACACTCTGGCCCTAGGATCAGTTAATAGTGTTACATTTCATTCATTTTTTAACTCAGAATGCACGAAATTTATAATCTTAAGAATTATCTAATGGTTGCCACATGTTCTATTCAAATACTATAATAAATCTAAAACGATGTATAAAAGAAATTAAGCAAAGAAAAACAACAACAGAAAAGAAACAGTTTTTCACAGACGATTCAGTATTTATCACTCAATAAATTTTCTGAATTTCACTTCTCTACAAGGCTAAAATGCATAAAAACTCAAAATATCTATATTAAAAATTGAGAAAGTAAATCTTAAACACTTATTTCCTCGAATAAATTCCAGAATGGATTAAGCATGATTTAATTCGCAATAATAAAAGAAGGCGTTATCTTTGGCAACAAATCACTATGCTGCCAAGTTTCAAATGTAAACAAACATGGCCACCATGGCAAAAATAATGAGGCTTGGTGCACTTGAACAACTTTTAAATTGTTGATAATTCTACAAATATTGCTCACAGATTTACTAAAGGCATAAAATCCTTAACCGGAAGATAAGAACAACATAATTTCAATCATTTTTAATCATCAACATAATTCATTCAATCACTTAATCAAGCAAAAAATGCACAATTGACAAACATATAAGAATAAAGAAACTGAGATCACTGAGCCGAGTAACAAAGTGGATATATATATTATATATATACATATGTATATATACACTTTTATATTTATATACACTTTTGGTGCTGCCGATTGCAACCAAAATGCGAGGTGCACATCTGCATGTTATAGCAGTCCTATATACAAAATTTCAACTTTCTTAGGCTACTCTTTTTTGAGTTATGCGAGATACGTACGTACACACAGACGTCACGAAAAATTCTCTTCAGAATTCATTTTAAATTGGTTTCACGAATTTTTGGGGGGAGAAGAGTCCTTTATTCTGTCCTTACGTATAGATGTCACCCAAAATCCGTTAAACTGCATTCAATAGCGGTAAAAATGGATATTTGTGTTGAAATATGCTGCCTGAAGCTTTTCGCGATTACATTACTTCCTTTTTACTTCGTGCAAGGAAGTTAAAAATTGCTCCACATTATGAATTTCTCGTCTGTCTTAGTGACAAAAGCTAAAGTGTAAAAAAGATTGAATGCCATAACTAAATAATATTATATATTTTTGTGTTAAAATTTTTAACCAATTATTTTCAAAGTAAATGTTTTTAAATACTTTGCTACACGGAAAAGTAATGAATTTTTTTACATTTTCATCTGTTTATAAATATGTTTCATTTCTCGAGGGCAGAAATATTTTTGAAACAAAAATACAGATGCATAGGTCAATTTTTAGATGTGGGTAAATTACTTTGTAAATATAGCTAGTGTTTTAATAAATGTCTTCATCATTTTACAATTTATAAAATTTACAAATAATAAGTTAATAATTAATTTACTATTACAGCTTAAGTTAATGCCACCTTTTTATTTCACATAAAACCACATCGGTAACTCAGCACACGAGTTTTATTTGTTCCATAATCTAGTTCGTAAGACGATTTAGTCGTTCTTGAAAACACTTTTCCAATTGAAATAAATACATTTAAATACGTACTATTAATCCATACCAGCCTCCCAAATAACTACTTCAATTTTTTATATTTTTAATGAGAAACAAT